CTTTGATTTCTTCCAGCTGCATTCTCTGTCAGAATCAGAGGGACAAAGGGAAGAAGTACCTGTATGTGGACCTCAGGACATCTCCTGCTTCCTTGCCAGTAAGACCTGAGCAGTCAGTCATGATCAGCTTAAGCAATACCTTTCCTCCTGTACCTTCTCATCCTGGCAATCATTTTTAGCTTTTTCTGTATATCTGACCCTTCCTAGCAAGCAGGATAACCAATTTAATTAACACTTGCATGTTCTTCCCCCCTCTGAACACACTCTGAGCCCACAGAGATGTTATTCACGCTGTATCCCAGACAAGAAAGCTTTTACAACAAGGAATGATTTTTTGATGAAGCATGTGCTGGATGTGTGACCTTTGTGGGTTTACTCTGGAGAAGCTTCTGGAGTCCTTTAGACAAACAAAGCCCTGACCAAGCAGGATTTATGTGTGTTTTGTAGCCTTTGTGCCCTGAACCAGCCGCCGTGCTTGCTCCTATCAGCAGCAGGTAAAGTGCTTCTTATAGAGACTGTGTGAGGGACTTTGGAATGGGCTGTGGGACCCCTTGGGAAGAACATGGTGTAGGCAGTCTGCCACTGCCTGGGGACTCTGGTTTGCCATGAGATCCGAGCTGGAGATCTGCTTGTATTTGTTTCAGCTGCAAAGAGGTAATTGTCAAGTGATTTCTCTCTTGTGCTGTCAAGTGACTTCTTTTGCAAGAGCCTTTGGACAGAAGGGATTTTTCAGAAATGAAAGATGAGAAGGTGCATGTCCATGATGGGCTTCCACCAAAGCCTTGGACTAGACTTCGGGGACTATTAAACACAAAATTCATTTATTTTCTAAACTGAAGTGGTTCCCTAGGGAAAAATGGAAAAAAAAAAAGTTGTGGGCTGAGACTCCCACATATCTAGCTGGGACAAACCTTTTGGACAAGTTTGGCACAGAGGCAGAGGAGATAAGGTCAGTGGAAAGAAGTGACTGGGAAGGGGGAAGGGATGAGCTCGTGGAGTGAAATTGCCCAGAAGCAAAGCACAGCCACTCACTTTGCAATGAAAAGCTTTATCATCTCTGCACAGATTAGTGCAGCTAAAAATAGCTTCAGCTCAAAGTAAACAGTTTTGTGAGTGTGCTCTGCCCTGCTGGAATGCCAGCCCCGCACAGAGCCACCGTGCCAGCAGCCACAGCCGTGTCCCCACGGTCCCACCCAGTGCCAGGGGGCTCCCCCAGCCCTGCTCGGCCCTGCCCGTTAATGGGGGTGGCCCTGGAGGGGGGTCACTAATGAGTTCAGCCTCATTACAAGCTTTACCGTGTTTCACTTGTTGAACCTTTCTGGATGAGCAACTTCTATAAAAACAAAATGGGTCTGAGCACGGGGTAATTCATTCAGACATCCCAACACCCACCCTCTCTTCCCTAATCAACAGCAAACTGTGTCCCTCCCTTGACAGCAAAAACAGTGGCTTGTCACTAAAGCTGCTTTTACTTGTTGGTTTCTCTTCTCATGAATCTCCAAGTGAAGCTGTTATTTGATGGCTTAAGAAATCCACTCTTGCCTTGGGGAGCCCAGCACATCAGTGAAATATGTTCTGTGGGGGTTTTTTGGATCAAAAATAGTTTGTTTATTTAGAGTATTTATTTTACGAGAGGAAGTCTGGAAAAAACAAAAACGTGTTGTCCCATTTTTTCCATGCGTGTCTTGTGCCATTCCACATTTCCTTGCAATCTTGATGACATCAAGTGACACAGAGACCTCAATGCCTGGGAAAGGCAGGGGAAGCTGCTCTTAGGTGGGGAGGCTGCGTGCAGCCACCGCGCTGCTCCAGCCCTGGCAGCACGGGCTTCTCGGGGAAGCCAGGCTTAGGCTGTGAAAACATTCGGGTCAGAGGCAGGTCAGAGCCTTCTGAAGTGACAGCCTGTCTCCTTGGGCTCCACAGCTTCCCAGAGTGTCCTTTGTGCTGCTGCTTTTCCTGGCTGTCAGGCAGCGTGCAGTCCTGCACAGCGGTGCTGCTGCAGGCTGGGCTGCTTTACACTCACCCTTGGGGATACTCTCACCTCATTCTGACATTTGACCTCTAAGATTGCTTGGTTTTGTCCCTCTTCCAGCTAAGGGTTGACAGCCAGCCTGCAGGGCAGCTTCTTGCTCTTCCCTGAGCCGTGCTGTCCCAGAGTAGCAAAGGTGGCACCCACAGCAGGGGCTGCCAGCCAGCACAGGACCATCCTTCCCCTGGGGCATTGCTCTCTGTGTCCCACTCTGTGGCACAGAACTAAAAAATTCACAGTTCCCTGCAGACCAACTGCAAGGTCAAAAGCAGCAGAGCCAAACCTGCAGTTGTCCAGAGTGGTAATGGCATCACCATCAATCCTGGACTGCGCAGGACAGCACAGTTTGACACACAACAACCTCACCAAAAAAAACGTGTGAGTAAAGCAGGGGCCACTAAAGGCTGATTGTGGCTGCAGCTGAGTCAGTCAGCTCAAGGCTGTGACACCACCCATCTCACAGGGTGAGCCATGCCAGCAGCTCTAACATCTGCCTGTCACCTTGGGGTGAATGGTGGACAAAGCAGCAGGAAAAGAGATGGTGAGCATGAGCAGCAGCTAGAAGTTAGAGTAAAATGTGCACTATTGTAAAATGTCAGCTTTTGCTTAAGAACAGGAAGACTGAATACACTGAAAGCCATGCATTTTTATCCTAATAGATAAGGCTAAGATTTCAGGCAAACTTTTTGGCATCATGGGACTGTCACCCCTTTTCCCACTTTCAAAAAAAATACAGTCTGTAGAAAAACTGAAACTGCATTTTTTTTACTTAAAATGAGTTTTGATAGAAAATGTTTGACTAGTCCCTACAGGAGATGGTGTTAGATGAGAAAGTCACTGTAAGGACACACAAGTGTGTGCAGAAAAGGATGGACTTTGTTGTAGATGCTCTGGGGGGCTTGTTTCCAGGACCACACACAGGATTGGGAGCTTTGAGCAAGACAAGACATGCCTTAATTTAGAAGTACATACACTGAGCCCCTGGCTTTCCAAAGGACTTGGCTGTTGCCATTGTTCTTTGTTGTCTGCTCTGTAATGGTACTGGCCACATTCTGCCAAGAAAATGCCTGGGTAACTGGGGTAGCACTTGCATTCTTACCAGACTTGGCCTCCAAACCCTGTGCTCCAAGTGTTAGTGTGGAGCTATAACCTTCTGGATCCTTTTCAAATGTCAGCTGGAGGAAAGGGAAAACTGCAGCCTTGGCCAGACCAGCAGAGCAGTCTCCTGAGGCTGTGCTGGCCCTCCTCCCTCCCTGGCAGCTCATGAAGACAGGCAGGGCATTGTGGTGAATCCCTTACTGCTACTTTTGGGTGAGCAGCAGCAATGTGTGACTCAAAACAGCTGGAGAGAGATGAGTTCTGCCAGGCAATGCACCTCAGGAAACCAAGTGGGCTTCTTGGGGCTGCTTCTGAACTAAAACTGAGTTGAGTCAGGAGGCTGCACCAGGTTGGTTTGGGGATGCACAGAGCATGGGTGTGTTTTGCTCTACTGAGGTCCACTCCCCTTCATCTGTGCCACAGTATTGTCATCAGGGTGTTTCCTGTGCTGCTTGCTGCTGTTGTTGGTGGTTTTATCTCTTCCTCTGATCCTGTGGGTATCTTTCACAGCAATCACCACATTTTTGGCCACACACAGATTCTGGCTGGAGGTGGTGATGGCAGCAGAGGTGGAAAAGGTCCAAGTGTGCAGGGTGGTGCCGGGGTGGGAGGAGAGGCTGATGCTTTTCACCTGGCACTGAGTGGCTCTGGGTCCCATCTGTCATGGGAGAGCTGCAGGAATGCAGAGATGCAGCTTCTGTGCCTGGCTGGTGCTAAGTGAGACAGTGAGTTGGGAAAGTGCTCCTGGCTCACATCACTCACTTTGCATGCAACCTGAAACAAAAACTCACCTAGCTCGAGTGGGGGCTGGATCCATTCCTTGGCAAACACCCTTTGTGCTCCCCAGTTGAGTTGTGAGGACCTGAGTGTTCTTAGGGCAGGGATGGAGCAAATCTTTCACTCTCTCAGCAAAGCTATTAGCACTAATGAGCCCTGTCCCAGGCAGCAGTGTGCACATTCCTGTGTGCTCACACACCTTCCCTCCTCACTGGTGGGGCCAGGCAGGAGCTCAGGCCCAGAGGATGACTGCAACCTTGATTGTTTGGTTTCAGCCACCCAGTGGGGTCTGCAAGGCTGATGGGACACCAGGAGGTGATGCCAGCTAAAGGGACATTCCTCAATCCATGTGGTACCATGTGGTACCAAGAGCATCCAAAATTTCCTGTTCTTCTGTAGACCTCGAGCTCCCTGAGAACTCCCAGGGCGTGCTTCACACAGCAGGGTGGTACAAAGGTGTGGGTTTTAAATGGGATACTGCCTCTGCACCTCCCCCCTTAAATCCAGGCGCTGTCACCAGCCAGCTCTGCATTTCACCCCCAAATACAGCTGGCACTCAGGGGCAGATGAGCTGAAATACTCCTGGGATTTACTCCATGGGAGGCAGAGGAGCAAGAAGCACTCCAAAACAACATAAAGCTGGGTTTTTCTTGGGAGGCACAAAGGTTTTTCTTGGGAGGCACTTTCGCCCTGCTACACCTGGTGGGATGGCTCAGGCTGCACGGGGTGTGATGGTGTCTGTGGCCATCCTGGCGGAGAGGATGAAGGGTGGGATGCAGGTGGGAAACCTGGGGGAGCAGCAGGCAGGAGGGAGCGCCCGGCAGCAGAAAGCCCAGCGCCGAGCATCGCAGGGAGGATGCTCGGGCACACGCAGCTGCCGGGGGATGGGGTTACAAGCCGAAGCTAAACAAAGATCGCTGCGAAAAGGAAACGGATCCCTCCTGCCGACTGTAAGGTAGGAGCCGAGCGGGAGCCGCTTGACATCATCGGGCAGAGCATTGGATTACAGCAGGCAGGGACTGACTCGAGGGGAGGAGAACACGCCCCTTGGCCCCACAAGTGCAACTTCATTTAGCAGCTCCCGGCAGAAGGAAACTGCGAGTCTGGAACCGGCTGCGAGGCTCCTGGCCGGCTTGGCTGCTCGCCACAGCGGGCACAGAGGGCAGGAGGGTGGGATCCAGCCGCGATCCCTTCTATCCATCCATCCGTCCATCCATCCATCCCCTCCTCGGCGGCGGGACCGCGGGCCGGCAGCGCCGGGAGCCGGGGCTGTAAGTGGGGCTGTGCTCGCTGTGCTGGGGCGGGGGGGGACAGGGACACCTGTCCTGGAGGGCAGCCAGGAGCTCTTCTGGCCGTGCCACCAGCGGGGTTTGTTCGGAGATTCGATGAACTTTTACCCAGCCGACTGCGAGCGGCGAGGGGTTTGGAGCCGGCAAACCGTGGGCTCAAAAAGCAGCGCTGCCTCCCGGATTTTGAGCTGTCGGGAGGGAGAAGCCGCTCGCAGGCTGATGGAAGGGAGGTGGCGGCTGCTCCGCTCGGGAAATAACGCGGTTCAGCGAAGGGGTAGCGGGGAGAGAGGGCTCAGAGCATAGAAATCACAGAGCGCCGTGGATCAGTGACCCCAGTGGGGATTTCTGGCCTCATTTCCAACATGTGTCCGTTTGTTCCGAGCGGTTTGCCGGAGGGAATCCCTTCCAGCACGGGGGCTGCTCTGTGCTCGCACGGGAGCGGGACAGGCGCCCGGGTCCGTGCTGGGGGCGAATCGGGGAATCATCCCTCGGGATGTCAGGGAATCCATCCCTGGGGATGTCAGGGACTCCATCCCTCGCGATGTCAGGAGCCGGGGGCTGCCCGGACTCCCCTCGCAATCGCGGAGCTTTGGGAGCGTGGCAGCAGGAGCAGGCTCGGAGACTTGCCGGCATCCGCCTTTCCAAGCAAATGTTTCAAAAGGCAAAGACTTGGGATAAAAAAAGAACTGCTGTGTGGTGGTATTCTCAAGAGGCTTTGCAAATTCCTCCACCTCGAAGCTGTGTGTCTTTCCTCTCTCTGGATTCCCCTAAGCAGCTGGTAGTGAGCCTAGCCGTGGTGGGGAGCTTTCACATGCATGTAATGCCTTGGCCCCCAAGGCGTGTTTGGGAAATTTCCCATTGCTTGGAAGGGGTGAATGGTTCTGCAGACCAAGAGCCAAGTATAGCTGTGAACCCAGAGGCAATGCCCTGGGTGGCCGTGCTGGTGACTCAAGCTGGGAGGAGGACAAGCTGGGGTCAATGAGCACAGACAGCCACAGTGGGATGCAGTGCGAGGGTGAAGGGACATTTGTGGGGTGGGTATGGCTTGATTGGGTGTCTGAGACTCTCCCATGGTGACAGCCCCTCAGGCTCTGGGCTGTTTGCTCAGCGTGCCCGGCTTGGTCAGTGTGGGGCAGTGCTTGGCTTCAGAGACTCTTGGCTGGAAAGAGCCACCCTGCTAACGTGTGGCCACCCAGCTGAGAAATTGCCACCTTTCAGCCCTTGTGAGCAATGGTGTTTAAGAAAGAAGGATCCATGAAGACATCCTCAATGTCTTTTATTTGTTTATAATGCAAATGCAGGTTAAATGGCCATTTATAAACGTGGATATACCAATAGAGCTTAATGTACCTTGGGCACAGAACACAGCATTGAGTCCTTCAGACAGAGTTCCACAGGGATGTGAGCACCCCATGCCATCGTTTTGGGGGACACTTTCCACAGAGTGCAGACTCAGATGCCTCAGAGAACTGGAGATCATTAGCTACAGTACATGGGCAGCTTGGTCATGAGGAGATGAAACCCAGGAATGTTCACAGCTGTGCATCTTCCAACCACCTGGCACTTCTGTACCAAGGCTGATTCTGAGGGGTGTACAGGCTCATGAGGAGCTAGGATGGGGAATTTTGCTTTTTCCTCTCATTCCAAAGAAAAATCAATGTTCTTTTGGTCCCACTCAGAGGAATACCCACAGGCACACAACCTTGCCACCCAAAATAACTATGAAAGACGTTTTCCAAGCTGCTAACATTTCCTGATCTCCCACATTTCAGAGCCAGTTCCTGCAGCACACTACTGTGCATTAATGCCTCCAGCCTGTCTGGGCACCCAAGCACCAGCATCATTCCTGTTTTACATGGGTCTCACACAAAGCAGATGATTTCCCTGGGCTCACACAGGTCTGTGGCAGAATAGAGGGTGAATCTACAGAGCCGAAAGGAACAGCAGAAGCTTCAACCTGGTTTTTTGTTTGCCTATGTCACCCTGTTCTGATTGCTCCCATTTTCACATTCCAATTGTTTCTCGACACCATTTTTCTTTCTTTCTTTCAAAGCTGTTTATATGGACTGAACTGGAAAATAAGTTTTCCATCACAACACTCATTTCAGAGAGGATAAGAGGGGAAAAAGCCCATTGCTTCTAGTTATCTTCTGGTCACGACTAGAAAAAGGCAAGTCATAAGGGAAGCTGCTCCCCAGGCTTGCCAGCAGCCAGGGAGAAGGGAAAGGTTCATGTGTTCATGGGCCTTGTCCCAAGCTCCTCATGGTGGCAGTCAGAGAGGCTGAGATCACTCCAGACCTTGCCTGGAACCTGCAGCACAAGCAGGAAGAGCAGCAGTTGGACTATGAACTGCCCTGGGCCCCACTTCAAAACTCTCACTCTCTTTGAGCCCAAGGGAATATGTACTTTACACCACCCATTTCTGGTTTCCACAGCGAGCTCCCCAGCACTTCCCCTCCCAGGAGAGCCCTCTGGCCAGGTGCTCTCTGCACAGCTCCCCCATGCAGGAACATTGCTGCTCACAAACCCTGCTGGGGAACTCCCTGGCAGCACCAAAATGCCATTTCTGTTGATATTTGCAGTGATGTCATAAGCCAAACATATCCCCACCACAGCGTCACCGACTTTACTGGAGTTACTGTTCCCACAAAGTGTAATTAATCTGTGGTGCTCATTGCCATGAGATACCAGTGGAGCAAAGAGCTCTGAAGGCATTTTAATGGATATCAGGTAGTTATCTCAGTAACAAAACAATCCTGGCTATGATTAAGAGGATATTGCACTGTAAGGATTGTAACACCTCCTGGTTCAGAGTCATTAGGGACTTATGAAAAGCATTCCATTACAATTAGAGGTTTTCTTGTACGTCTGAGGCCGGGGATGCCAGCTGCTGCTGGAGACAGGGCACTAAATGAGGCAGTCTGGCTGCTCTGGGAGGGCCAGGCTGCTGCCCTGCTCAGCCATGCAAGCAGCCTGGTGTTTACCCAGCAGCCAGGAGACACAAGGACAACCTTCTCTCTGCTGCTGTCACCTTGCTGGAAACCGGGAAGGATTTCCTCCCTGGATCAAAGCAGCACCACAACAGCTGTTGTGTAGAATAGTCTTGAATTCTGCCAAAAAAACATTCTGGGGTGGGTTTTTTTGGAACATGCATTCATTTTGAAGCAATGCTGAGAGAACTGAGGTTGTTCCATGTGTTTGCTCCTTTTGGGTAACAGCTGATTGCCAGGGAGGGAATCTGAACCTCAAACATGTGCAGTCGTGCACATTGAATAGGACAAGAGAAAATGGTCTTAAGTTGCACCAGGGAAAGTTTAGGTTGAGTATTAGGAAAAATTTCTTCACCAAAAGGGTTGTAAAATGCTGAAATAGGCTGCCCAGGGAAGCAGTGGAGTCATTATCCCTGGGGATATTAAAAAGATGTGTGGATGTGGCACTTAGGGACATGCCCTTAGTGGTGGACTTGATGACCTTAAATATCTTTTTCAGTCTAAATTATTCTATAATTCTGTGCTGATGCCCTTGTAATTCATCCTGATGGGCTATGGATGCTTGTCTAGCCAATGAACATTTCCACTAGGGTCTCAAGATAATCCGTGGTACCTTGATGTGTTCCAGGACTAAACTACAAAACAAAGTGTTCTTTAACAATTCACTGTAGCCTATCCTTAGGTGGCACCAATCCATGTGCCACCATAAACGTTCCAAACAGCTTGGCCTTTGTGCTGAGGGGCCTCTGGAGCTCTGCCCATCACCCTGGGAGCAGCAGGACCAGGTGAGCCAGAAGAGGATGAGCCTTTGGGGATGGAGCTTCAAATCTGCAGACTCCAGATGCCCAAGCAAGGACCATGGGGAGGAACATCTAGGTAGAGCCAGGCCTGCAGGGCTGGAAAGCCAATAGCAGCTGCTAAAGAGTTTTTGTCTCCAAAATCAGCTGGTTTTGAGAGAGAAAATGGGGCTTTCCCATCATGTCCCATCACAAACAGGGCTGCTCAGTGCTAACTTCTACTTCAGAGCATCATTGCTGCTCCAGTTTACTTTAAGCCTCTCTTGGCAGAGGCCCACGTGTTTTGAGATATTTTGCAACACTGCTCAAGTGCAGGAGGTTTAACTGTTTGGGCAGTGGAACACACAAGTCAGGGCAGGAAGGCAAAGGAAGAAAATAAAGACTTGTGGATTTCCAAAGCTGTGTTTCTTCCTTCCTGCTTTTGTTTGGTTGTTTGGTGCCCAAAAAGGGCAGTGCATATTCCCAGAGTTGTGGGAATACTGTTTCTTTTCCGGTCCAGTGTTTCCAGTAAGCACTTTGCTATAAATGGGGTTAAGACTAACAAAAGTTTATTGTTAAATCCCTGTGTCTTTGTTTAGCTCCTGTCATGATCATAATTAGCATTTTCCACTTCTGCAAGCCTGTCATCTGCAGAGCTGAAAGTGCTTTAAAATATTTGAAGCATCTAACAGGGGGAGGGAGTATTAATAGCTCCATTTAACAGATGGGCAAACTGACACATAAAAGCAGCAAGTGCCCTGTCCTTGAAGCAGGGCCAGAGCCAGCAAGTAGTCAGCTCCAACTACAAAGTTTTGAAAGTGGGTCAAAAAAATAAAGAGAAAGATTGGAGATCTGTCCCAGTTTGGAAAATGATGGGAAATAGTTCCAGTCACAGTGGTACTCAGCCCAGATGGACCAGACAGATGAATTGCTGGATGAGCTACTGCTTATATGGTTAAGTGGCTCATCTCTTGATTTCTGTTCTGCTAACATTTGTCCCTGGGACAAAGGGAAAAACACAGTCCATGATGTTCCAAAATAGTCAGAAAGCTGAAACAGCTGCTAAAATAAGCAAGTGTCCTGTTGGCTGGGCTCTGCAGGTCAGGGGATTGCAAAGCACCCACAGATGCTGAGGCCACAGAGGAAATGTCTTTGAGCAGGGCCTGGGGACAGCAGGAGGAGGCTCAGCTGTGCACAAACAGCAGAGACCCAAAGAGCTGGACACAGACCCAGCAAAGCGACCAGAACCAGATTAAACTTCCCCTTTCACCTCAGGGAAGCTGATATGGGAGTTTCACTTCTTTAAAGAGCTGCAGAGCAATATTCATTTATAGTCTGGAGGCAGCTGCTGGTCCCTGCAGTGCAGGTCAGGACATGAGCTGTGTCAGTGCTCCCAGCACCTGTGGGAGGGCAAGGAAAGCAGCAAAACCAAAGAGGATTTCTCTGTGCTGGACTTTCCATGTGCTTTGACACCACAGCCCGAGTCCATTAGCACAAACCCTCCTGAGGAGGCGCCATTGGAGCACAACATCCCAGAGCCCCTGGGCTGCTGTGTCCACCAAGCCAGGCTCCATCTGAGCCTGCTGGGCAGAGCCCTGCCACCCCTCTGCTGCTCACACAGAGTGGGAAGAGCAGCTGAGCTTTGTGCTTCCCAAAACAAGCACAGAAAATGTTTTCTTACTTTTTTTTTCTTCTTCTTTCCCAGAAGCTGTTGTCCTGCTGTGCATGAAGCGTGTTTGAAGTCATGTCCAGAAGGAAAGTCCTCTAAATCAGGTAGGGACTCACACTATGGCTCATAAAGCTTTTATTCACAGGGAAATATTGCAAGCAAATGGGTTTTTTCCTTCCTGTAGCATTGAGTCACTTGACCTCCCCTCTGTATTCTGAATTACAAGATGCTAGAAAGCTGCTAAGAGGAAAAAAATACCAACAATTCTGCCATAATGACTTTCCTGCTGTATTATCCACGTGTCCTTGTACCAAGCCACGTTGCAGCTCTGACTCCAAGCAGCCCCAGTGCCAGTTGTGCTCCATGGCCTCTCCCTGCCAAAGGCTGCCCAGATGCTTTGCAGGGGAATGTTGTTTGGATGTGAGTTCTGTTCTGTGTGTGGAGTCAGCCCAGCAAGTCCAGGGAACCCCCAAAGCTCAGCCTTTCACAGCTCCAGCAGAAATGGCAAACCCTCTCTGTGGTTTCACCGTGGGCTCCTGCACTCAGAGCATCCCCTCTGTCCTCAGATCATGGCACTGCTTTCATTTGTCCTGTGCTTGGCCTTGCACAGAGCTCCCAGGGCTGTTTGGGGTGAGCTCTGCAGTGCAGGAGCTCAGGAGCTCCCTCCTCTTGCAGGTGTCTCAGTTCATCTCTTGCATCCAGCACCTTCCCCATGTGCTGCAGGCGCCCTGGGTCTGCCCAGGCTGCACATGAAATACTTGGCAATTGATTTTATTGGGAGCTTTCCCTTTCCTGAGGCTGGCAAGGATCACTGAGCATCCCCAGGGTAGTGCTACAGGCACATCTCCAGCACTGCTTCAGCTCAGGTTTGGGTGTCACATCCCTGGGGACTCAGGCAGAAAGGTTTACCCTGCCTGCAGGAAGGATCAGGAGCTGCTGTCACCTGACACAGGTACAAGGAAACTGAAATCCAGCACAGAAATCTTCAGCAAAGGAGGTGTGCAGGCCTGCAGAGCTGCTCCTGCCCAGACAGGGCTCCCAGCAGGGCAGCACAGCCAGAGGGGCTCCTGATTCCACTGGGTGACAGAAGCCATGGAGACACCTGGAGCCTCAGCCACCCCTCACTGCCAGCCTGCTCTGAACCCCAACACTTCCCTTTTCTGGGGGAATAGCCCCAAAGACAGATCTCCCCCATCCCCCTTCCCCAGCCAGGGTGGGGGTCCCAGCAGTGGAGCAGACACACAGGGCAGCCAAGCCCAGGGAGCAGAGCTAAGCCTGGCTTTGCTAACCAGCTTCATTCTCTACTGACACTCTGAAGAGGTGCCCTGGTTATTTTTAGGCACCTGGGAGCTGCCAGGGCACCCCAGGAGGCTTCAGAGCCTTTCTCTCAGCCCCTTCCACTGCTCTGAGTCGGGAGGACTCTTTGGATGCTGGATGCAAATTCCTGTGGGATTGTGCAAGGCTCACTGAGGCAGAGCCAAGGCAGGTGGCTGAGTCTCAGCTCTAGGCACCCTGCTCTGAGCAGAGCTTCCCCAAGCAGCAGCAGCAGCAGCCAAACCTGCCCAGTTACAGCCCTCACAACTCTCCCCAGACATGCCAGCCCTGCTTTCCCACAGCAGTAGAGCTCAGCTCCTCAGATCACAGAGAAGAGCTGGACTACATAGCTCTGTTTCATTTTAGGCAGAAAAATAAGGACTCATCCTTGCTCATCTCTGTCCTTGTAGAGAGGTCTCTCCCAGCCCAGAAACAGAGCTACACCACCAAAGGCTGCTGTGACTTTGCCTTCCTCTCACATGTGCTAGAAAACAGCCCCAGCTGCATCTCCTCAGCACTTGTTTGTCTCCTCCTTACCCAGGGAAGCCTGCAAGGTATTGGGGAGCTGCTGCTGGGGTCGAGCATCCCTGGGCCAGGGATTCAGGTGGGGTTTTAGAGGGTGATGCTCACTCAGAGGTTGGTGCCTCTGAGCTGTGGGACTGCTGGGGATTCTCCAGCCTTGGAGGTGGAATCCAACTGTTCCTGTTCTTCATGAACAGTCTGGAGGAAGGCAGGAACCCAAGCCTGAAGGGGATCCCCATTGCACAGGAGTTCAGCCCAGGGCCTGGGTGTGACAGGGTGATATCACAGGTGATATATATATATATAAATATATATATATATACATATACATGGGACCTGCCTGCCACAGCAGCTAGGGGACTTCTGCAGCTGAAGGGCCACTGGTCTGTGGCTTGTCTGCTTTGTAGCTTCAGACACGAGCAGATCTTCCACACAGCTGTTTGTGCAAAAATGTGTTGGCACATAAAGGCAAATAAGAAAGAAATTGTGAGAAAATAAAAGTAATGGAGAAGGGACTCAAAGCCCCAGACTCCTCAGAGCTTTGAGAGGGTCCCTGCAGGGGACAGAGGGTCCTGTGGGTGCTCATGGCTGCTCTGGGTGAGGATTTGGCTCTCTTCTCTCTGCCATGCAAGAGCCACAGCTCTGTGTCCATCCAGTACAAGCCTGCCTTGGGGGGGTGAAAATGGGCAGGGAGAAAGGTGCCAGCCTGCCATGTCCTGAAGGCCTGCAGGGGCTCAGGGTGCCTTATCCCCACTGTCACCCGTCCCTCAGAGCCATGGGTGTCTTCTGGAGGGGGACAAACCAGAGTGCCCAGATTCATTAGCACCTGAGGCTGAGAGATGGGAAAAACAAGCTCGACCTGGGAACAAAACAAAAATACAACTGCTGTCACGGCAACTGTCTCCAGATGCACAAAGAGACCAATTATTTCCATTAATCAACTTAGCTAGAAGCTGCAGAAGAGGCTTAAGCTGCATCAAGGCTCGGTAGTGAGGGGAGGGAGGAGCAGAGGGGCTCCACCAAACAGTGATTCTTCCCATGGTGGAGGATTTTTGGAACAGATTCTCAGCCCCTGTGCCTTTGGGGCATGGACAGAGGGATGCTGCCTGCTGCAGGCATGGGGGTGGCCAGAGCTGGGCACTGGGCTGCCTTGCTGGTGGGTGAGTGGATGGATGGATGGATGGATGGATGGATGGATGGATGGATGGATGGATGGATAGATGGATGGATGGATGGATGATGGATGGATGGATGGATGATGGATGGATGGATGGATGGATGGATGGATGGATGGATGGATGGATGATGGATGGATGGATGGATGGATGGATGGATGGATGGATGATGGATGGATGGATGGATGGATGGATGGATGGATGGATGATGGATGGATGGATGGATGATGGATGGATGGATGATGGATGGATGGATGGACAGACAGGCAGCTCTCTCCCACCATCACCCACACATCCTGATGTTAACAGGAGGCCACAGGGGCTGAGCATTGCCCTCCTGCCTCCCTGAAGCCCCCCCTCTCCCCGGGGATCAGAGCAGAGCACACAGGGACTCGCCCTGCCCCGTGCCCAGGCTCAGCTGGGAGTTTGCAATCTGGCTGCACCATTTCTTACAGCAGTGGGAAGCCAGGCAGAGGCTGTGAGGATGTGGGACAGCAGGAGGTGCCTTGGGACAGTGAGGGCTCTGCAGTGGGGGCTGTGCTGAAGGCCAGGAGGGAGGGGAAGGAGTTTGGGGAGCTTGGCAGAGCTAAATACAAAGTTTGTGAAGTCACAGAGGAGTCAGTCTAAGCCTAATCTTAAACACGGGGCTTAGCAATTGGTTATCAGTTCTACAGGCATGAAATGATCTTTATACTGTAAAACCAGGCCAAATGAAAAGAAGGGATCTATTTGTGGACACTGAACCTCAGCTGTATCTGCTCTCCTCCTGAAGGAATTAAAATTTTCCAGCAAGTCCTAGAGAATGCTGGAAGCTCTGTTCCTGCAAAGCCATTGCAGGGGCTGGAGCAGCTGTGATGTCTGTCCTGGCTGAATTTATCATATTTAGTGTAAGAGCCTGAGGGTGCAGAGTTATTACAAGGAATCCCACAGAAAAACCTTCCATAAATACAGATGTGCTGGACCCAGCTTGATGTCTCTTCATCACTGAAGGCTTGTGAGGCTTTCCTGGGCTATTCCTGCCTGGGCAGAAGCTGCTCAGCACAGGAGATGGACATGCCCTGGTAGGACATCAGGCTGCTGCCTTGCTCCTGTTTTCTCACCAAACCAGGAAAGGCAGAGCTCAGCAGTTTGGAGCACACCAGTTCTGGCCAGTGAGAGCCATCACCACCGCACTGTGGAGAGCACAGGGCCAACAGGAAAGCAGGGCAGCTCTGTGTCTGCTGCAGACCCTGTCCCCAGCCTTACACAGCCTGTTGCAGCCAGACTGGGCTCCCAACAGGACCATCTTCATCCTCAGCTGCATTTCAGCTCAGTTTCTGGCCATGGATCTGAGCTCTGGTGCACGGGGATCATGAGATGTAAAACACAGTCACAAAATACCCCAAAATACCCCAATAACCCCAAAATACCCCAATAACCCCATTACAGAGCCCTTCCTCTCTGATGCACACCCCCTCATGCCTGTTCCCAGACAAGACCCAGTGGAAAATTTGCTGAAATTCCAGCTGGATCTTGTCAGACAGTTGGTGGAAACCCCCTGACCTCAAGTGCTGCCTTCAGCCCTACGGGATATTTTTTTCTCCTCGCTGGATGTGACTCTCCCAGCAGGAAACCTCAGAGCAAACCCCCAGGGAGCACAGAAATCCCGGTGCTTCCTTCTTTGTGCTCTACCAGGCCCCCCTCTTCAGTAAACCATCCTGCACTGTAAATATTTTAAAAGCCCAGCAGGGCTGTGGAGTGTTTTGCTGTTGTTATGGATCCGGCCCCAGCAGGAGAGGTCTAAGAATAGTCCCTGCACCCTGGAATGAAAGGGCAAGGGGCACTGCACCATGGGCAGAGCTGCAAGGAGACTGCACCACTTCATGCCTTGCTGGTGGGATGAGATGCTTGAGCAGAAAAAGGGGTCAGATCCCTGTTCCCAAGCAGAACTTTGGAATTTCACCCCAGAAACTCGGCAAGGTTTTGTTCAGCTTCGGGGCTTTACGACTCCAGAAGTTTGGGGAGTGTTAAATCCACTGGGCACAGATTATAAAATCTGGCCCCACTTTCCCAGATTTACTGCCCAGGAACCAGCAGGACTGGTGCCAGGCTAA